TGGTATATAAGCACCATGTTTTTCGCTTTCTTTTTTTTTTTTTTTTTTTTTTTTTTTGCTTTCAACAGGGCCATTCATTACTGTAGGTAACAGTATGATCTTGATTAGGCATCTGTCAGTTTCAAAAGACTATGGTAACATGCTCTGAATGGAGGACTTGGAACAGCATCTACTGTGGCTGAGAAGGCCAATTCGAGAGTGACAGTCCCTTCCGCACTGAAGACAAATACAATCTGTCCCCAGTCCAGCTCCCTGAATTTGCTGGTTTTGGGACTGCCTGTTTGCCTTGGCCTGCTGGACAAGGGTCTCTTCAAACTGGGAGAGGCCATGCTGCACCACCTGCCTCCAGGCTGAGCGCCCAGATGTCAAGGTTTCCCATCTGTTGAGGTTCATTCGTAAGGCCTTCAGATCCCGCTTGCAAATATCCTTGTATCGCAGCTGTGGTTTCCCTCTGGGGTGATTTCGCTGCACTAATTCTCCATACAGGAGATCTTTTGGAATCCAACCATCAGCCATTCTCACTATCTTATTAAACTTATACAAAGTCATGCTTCTGATATAATTAAGTGTAACGAAGAAAAAAATATGCAAATAATTTTGCATTACCTAAAGTTGGACAGAAAATACACATGCAGATATCCAACATGTTGATTTATGGTAATAACACATTTATTTAGACACTTTTTAAAGCAAGCTCACCTGCTGGAGAAACATGAGGGCAACTGCTCATCTTTAACAGTTTCAGGGTATCACTGTTGTTTGCCACTAGTACCTTGAGAGATGGGTCATCTACTGGTGTATCATCTATCTTAAGTGAAGAAAGCGATTTCGAGTTTACAAACACCACAGTCAGTGCAGAAATAAAGTGTGACTGTAGAAAGGGGAAAAAATATAATGAAATAGAGATCTGAAGCTTAAAACCTGCCACAAAAAAGCATTCACTTTGCAGCAGAAAATGTGAACATATTCTTGAGGTCTTTGAGCAAGCAGCATCTTTTTCACTTCCTCCTGAACTGTTATACCAACCTGAAAAAGAGAAGCCAAATTTATAAATACTTACCACAAGCCTACAGTTTGTCCCCTACACAAGACAACCTCTGGACTATCTGCAGTGAACAGCAAATTTTAACAATAAACTGGTGGCTCAGAGTAAAGCCAAGACTGTGTGCCCTGGTTTTGGGCTATGCTCTCTTTCTCTTATAAAAGCTACAGCAAACATGGAAGCACATATTCTGCAAACAATTTGAGGTGACACTTGACTGAGATGGCAACTCTTAAAACACAAGAGGAAAACTGGTCTACAATTCAGGCAGACACATCAGTCAAATGGCTTGTCAATTAATTGTTTTTTATTTGACTCTGATAAGATTCCGAAAACTCTATGTGTAGATTGCATCTTGTCTTTTACTTCATTACAACGCCAACTGCTGGAAAAACAGATGTGAAAGCATTTTCACTTTAGCTTCACACCAATCAGAAGCAATCCTAGCATCAAAGGAAAAGCTCCTGTTACCTACTGTATCAGTTGTCATTGCAATCATGCATCTCCAACCAGGGGCACAAGCTGTCAGTACTGACGAACACTACTGTCTAATGGGCACTGCCACACTAGAACACAAGACTCAAGTACAAATTTTCTTTACACGATGTTAAACTAGACAAATATACTTAAATGGTACAGGACTGGTTTAGTCTTCAAAGGTACAGGAACCTGAAGCAGTTAATCCCACTCTTGCCAAAAAGCTTAGTATCAATGTAGTTTATAAAAAACAGCCAAATTAGCACTATGACAGCATTGTTTAGCAACTGTCCACTACAGTCTATATCACTGAAACAAATCAAGCTACACTGAAGCAAGATTTCTGAGAATGGCACATATTCTCCAGCTATTATGATGGGAAGTATTATTATGGGGGCATATGCACAGAAAGCAAAAAGAGCGTGCACACATGCAAACAATACACACAATTATTTACATCATATATAAATTCTTCTACAAAACTTAAGCCAATCACAAGGTTTTCACAGATACTCTAATCCAGAAATCACTTAATTTGATTCTCTACTTTCACAAACTGTAGTTGAAAATTCCACTTTCTGTAGCTTTTAAAAACAGTTTAGGGAACATGCTTGGACACTGGAGATTCTGTTAGCCAATACAACAAAGTCCTTAACAAGTGTACTTTTAAGTGTACTGACTGAAAAGGTATTTACGACATGAACATATTACTAAAAGAAATGATAGAGACTCATAACAAACAAAGTAGTCCTGGCAACAATACAAAACATGTCAATGTGCCTGAAGTTTAAGAATTTCTATTTCCCCCCTCATTAATGAGAAAAGATTAAGCCTGAAAACAAACTTATTTTTGTTAGACTCAAGAAACAAAATAGTAGAAATTAGAAAATAGCAAGGAAGAAAAGAATTGTTTTCGTACATTTAATATTCCCTAACTTTCAGGGCAGGAAACATCTCCAGGTTCTTCCTTACTGTAAGCTTCCTGGCTGAGCAAAGATCTAGATTGTACTCAGTCTATGCACGGTAACACAGTGAACAGTAATTAGTAACTAAAAATGGTGAGCAGATGATAAATATCTAATTCAGTTCTGATATCCCACACCAATGACAGTGAACCTATGGCACATGTACCACAGCTGACACGGAGCCCTTTCTGCTGGTACACAAGCCATAAGTCGCCGGATCAAAACTCCCCCCTCTGCGCAGCCAAACCTGAGAAGGCGGTTGCAGCCGCAGTGCTGGCACTTTGGCAGGTGGATCCAGAGCAGTGGCGCTGGCAGCGGATCCGGAGTGGGGTCTAGAGGCACCTCCGTGCCGGGATTCCCCCTTCTGCCGCTACTTCCAGTTCCACCACTGCCACTTCCGGTTCTGCTACTGCCACGGCACACCACCCGCTGGTTCTGTTTTCTTCCCCAGTTTGGGCACACAAGCCCAAAAAGGTTCACCACCACTGTCCTAGACAGAGCACAGACAGCAACTACGATGATCTACTCCTCATCTCTCGCCAACAGCACACAACTGTACAAAGCAGTTACAGCTAGCCCTGCCATGCACATACACAACCACTTCATTCACACATAATAATCTTTAGTTTATAATTCTGCTACTGAACTTTGGGCTTTTACAGTCCCCTGTCCATACTCATCCGTTATTATGCTCACAAGATATCTAGAAGCTTTTGCTTCAATTTGCATTTTTTAAATAAAAAAAATCAGTCTTATCTCAAAGCTCAGCCAACCTATAGTTAGTCTTAACTATTGTTTATGGAAACAATAAATCACGGTTAAAATTGACTAGTTAGGTTTTCTGGCATAACATGAGTAACTCAAAAGCAAAAATTTCTGATCTTATGGACATCAGGGGAAAACAAGTGAGGGAGAACACACATGACCATAGCTTGTTCATGTAATTGTCTCAGTCTCTTTCTCTTGGTGTGCATGAGAAATAAAGAGGACCAGCATATGCAGGATTTATTAAATGACATTTTTCTCTACCAGTCTAACAACACAGTACCATGAAAGGTATCAATGCTGTGCCATGAATGGAGTAACAAGAGAAAAAAAAATAGAGCACAGGAATTTGGAACTCAGTGGCTGATTGTTTATTCTAGGCAAATGTGACTAAGAAAGCCTTGTCTCAGAGAGAAACATTTTGCAAGTGCAAGCACAGCAAGAATAAGAGAGAATATCCCACTCCCCGTGAAAATTGACTCAAAGGAAAAAGAATGGGCAGTTCACTGAAGCCCACTGCACCTATAAAGGCAAGTACAGTACAATCATAAAGGAATGTAAAAAGTTTGTTGCTGTACTCGCAAAGAGCTGAGAAACAGGCAGGTCATTTTATAATCTATTAGACATTTGAACTTTTTGAATATCACATTTTCAATATGACTAATACCTTTGGTAAATCCATGAAGCTTGGTCGAGCTGTTGAAATTAGTCCTAATGTTTTTAAAGAACAATTCACAAGCTGTGATAAAATATCACATGCTGCTTCAGCTGATTCCTTGCTGCTGTCCACCTTAAAAACCAAGAAAAGCACAGTCAATAGATGCAATGACCAGTTTAAAATTAAAATATTTCAAGCTGTTTGGTTTAAAATATGTGTATATTGCTTTTTTGTTACATTAGGGTATAAAACATAATTATTAATTTTGTTTCTACTATGAAAAAAATCAGAGTTTAAAAAGTCTCAATGTGTCTTTCTTCCAAAAAGAAAGAGGTCATGTTTGTAGTTATAACCTTTCTGCCCAGTCAAGGCAGTCCATCATACACTCATTTACACTCCATTTTTCTTTTGCAATAGTCAGTTTATATTCTGTTACTGTGAATGTTCAATTCTCCTTGGATTTTTTTTTCCTGAGGGAAATTGCCTTCTTTGGGGTTTTAAAAAGGGATTACAAACCTTTCTACTAATAGTGGGGTTCCCCAATTATGCTGACTCCCCCACAGAGTAGCCCCTTGTTGCCTAAAATCCAGTAAGCATCTGAATTTGCAATTAAAAAGAATGACAAGGTACAATCAACCAAGGAAAAACAACATTATCCTATGTCAGGAACAGGTAATCTGTGGTCCTTCAGATGCTACTGGACTAAAATACCCATCAGTTCCAAACACTGGCCATGCTGGTTAGGGCTTATGGAAGGAAGAAACCAACATCATGGCAGATATAATTTACCAACCTCTGTCATGGCTAAATTATTATGCACTATAAAGGAATCTTTATTAGTAGCTCTGAAGGACTAAACTGAGGACTTACTACCATTAATATCACCAACAGAAAAAAAATTTATACATTTGGCACTTAACCTTCACACACTGACCAAGTGATTAACCTCTTATAGTTTCAGTTGATTAAACTATCAATTAACTATCAATTAACCTGGTTAAAGTTTGCCACTGTGACTACAGTACACTACTGTATACCTCTCCCAGTACAGCTCCTTCAAGATGTTTTTCACTGACAAGCTGAACAGAGAAAAATAAAGGCATAAATGGGATAGACATTATAGTGCAATTCTTTCAGAAGCAGCCAGCAACTGTTACATGGAATTTACATAATACAGTATTAAGACAAACCACTGTGTTCATTTAAATACTGTCAAGTAACATACACAGGCCAGAATCACTTATACTTGCATAATGACAATCATACAAGCCTTTCCCCCACTACAGCAGGCTTTCCTTCCTGCAAAATTGTGTAATGGGACATCCAAAGGGAAAAAGTGCTGTGCAACTGCTCTTCTGCACATGATTTTTCTTTAACTGAGCTCTGCCCTGTGAACTTAGTATCACTGTCCTTCTCCTCTTTTGGTATTGTGTGTCAAATCTGGAAAACAACAAAATTTACTATGGACATTTTTGAATTTGTCAAAACCAGAACACTAGCCTTAATTTTAGGTTTGGTTTTTGATTTTAATTTCGTTTTGACCTGCTCAATCAAATAACAAATTCATAACTTGGTGATGACATGGATTACTGTAGCACTTTTAGTTTATTTTACATCCCACTCATTTACAATTCAACAAATATATTTATTTTATATAATAGACAAAATTCTGCTGCAGAATTTTGCATCTGGTGTCACCTGGATTGGGCACCATAAATGTTTTATTTATACTAATTAAATAAAACATTATTTTATTTAACCTGTTTTAGGTTCCAAGACTCCTCTGCATTCCCTTTGCCTTAGAGAGTCTTTGGGGGCCTCAGGGATGGGGGAGATTTTAGAAGTCCTCATCCCTGTGATGGCAATTTAATTGCATTTTTTTCTTCTAAAGGCTCCCCAACCCACCCACACAAGTTATGCTGGGTGCAAAGTTATGCAAAAGGATTTTTCCCATTATCTATTTTCTAGGGATAAACACCTGAAAAACATTAACTCGTAACAGCTACAGTACAACTGTGATTATCAATACCACAGGTACCGCAGAAATCTACTCCTCCCCCCTGCACGAACCAGCTGGTCCACTTACGGGTCACTGCATGAGAGCACAGCCGTTATCCAAGTTGTCATACCAATCATGGAAGCTGCCCAGTCAGCTCTTCCACGCCTCCTCACACAGCTGACCACTCCGGAAAAGAGGTAGAATGAGGAGTCTCCTTGCTCAGCTTTTGAGCATTCGTCTGCACTGTGAGGTGGGTAAGAGCCAGTTTGGCTGCTTCTGTGATTGGCACGATGACAAGGAGGACACCAACCCGAGTGGACTGGCTAGTTGGGGGGGGGCGGGACTGTGGTGCTGATATTCATATTCATATCCCCAGGGATACAAATATGAATATCTCATGTCTAGTCATCATGAAATATAACTTATATTGCTATCTACTATTATTTTCTTCACAACTATCAGGCCCATCTCTCATGATAAGACTCAAAGGTAAAAACTGTTAATATTCCCTATATTATTTTGCAGGGTTCCTCTGCTATCTCATTTTACTTGTACATCTTTCCCCCCACTTTCCCTTCTCTTGAGTTTTTAACTGATACTGTCATTCCTGTCAGTTTTGACCAAAAAACTTCACACCCCTTCTCCCCCCCCTTTTTTTTTGCTCTTGCAAGGTTATCTTTTCTGTCTCCTATAGGAATGTTTACAATAGAAGTTAACACCAAACACAGGCCATAAATTACTGCATGTGAGATGTAACCACACATACAAGACTCTTAGAGCCAATGAATGTTTACTTGTGAATTTGGTGTTTCACCCAATCTTTCATTTTTCCCCATATGTCTGATGAAGTGGGCTTGTCCATGAAAGCTCACATTCAAATATAACAGTCTTTAAGTTGCCACATATTTTTGTCTTGTTTTGTTTTGTTTTGTTTCTTTGGATTTTGCCTGATTTGGTTGACTCCAGTTGCCACAGTGGCTATATCCCATTCCCTGCAATTACCCAGCCAACATCTGAGACTTGGGGTAGGCTTTTGTAATACTCAAGAGTGTTATCCTTCATGATGTCAGAGAAGCATAGCACAGAAGTTTTGAAAACAGTGTCAGAACATTTTCTGAGACAGGTAACTGGAGGAACAGGCACAGGAGGAATCTGACTAAAGGGATCCAGAAGCCAGGCAAAGCCCAGGTAAACTAGTAACAGAGCAATCAAAAGCTTTAGAGAAAGCCTTCATGTGGTACCTGCAACCTAACACTCCTATAGCTGGCTGAGTCACTGTTGAAACCACCATCTTTTTGCTGTTGAAACCACCATCTTTTTGCTGTTATTAAGAAATTTTGTGAGTCACTGATTTTTTGTTTACAAATGGACAACTTTCCACAGAAAAATGTAAGCACTGGAAAAATTTTCCATCCCACATCACTGCAAAATGCTCTGAGAATGAACAAAGAAACCCTTCATTTTTTAAACATCTGATTGGGCTTGGTGCTTGCATCAAAGCAGGCAGTCTGAAAACAAATGCTCCTAGGGCTGAGGAGGAGATGTGAAAATAATCCCCAAATACATATTCACAAGATGGTAGGCTGACTGACCATATTCTGAGCTCTGCAATACTGTGAAGCCCCTCTTGATGTCACATTTTTGTTGTCTGCATAACCTTCTCTGCTCCACTATTACTCAGACACCCCAAAGTTACCTAAACAAAGGTTCAGAGAATCCTCATCTTATAGTAAGTGCACACTTCCAAATCTGGCTAGGTATCTTAAAAGACCTTCTATTAACTCCATTTAGAAATATTTCTCATTCGGAAGGCAAGCAAAACAGCAAGGAAACAGCATCTCAACAAGATACATTCCCAAGAACCAAATCATTGCTATGTACAAATAAACTGGAATTTGAGCAAGACAATCCCCTCACAGCCAATTTTTGCCAGCTAAACTCAAATATAATACATTATAATATATAAATGAAGGGATTGACAAACTGCAATTATTCTTGCACTATATATTAGATAAAGGAACTCAGTCCTTATCAAATTGCTCCCAAGAAATACCATGTGTAAATCAGGAGCAAATTATAAGTCCATTAAAATGCAGTATAAACCTAAGTATTCTCAGCAGTTCACCAAAGTTTAGAACTTCCTATAAGTTAAAAGATACATTTTACATTTCTAGTTCTTCATCTTGGAACTTAATGTTCATTGTATAATAAAAACTGACTTTCCATTTTATCCCTCTCTTTTTTGCTACAAGGGGAGAAATCAGCATCTTGATATCAGTTACATCATATCTTAAAAACAATGTAGAGATACATAAAATGTTTTGCTTACTTGAAAAAAAATAAATTTAAATTTTGAAGATCTCCTATCTGTATTTACTTACTTTTCACTACTAGTACAACTGTTCAAACTTAGATTTTTTCTCCAATTTGTTTGGGGGTCACAGTGTATCACTTTGTAGGTTCAAGATATAATGTATTTTTCACTTTTTAATTGAAAATATGACCACAAAATATGCTTACAAATATTATTGTAGTGTTATTTATCTCATTTTCTCAACAGATAGTGGTCCTCTGTTCAGTTGGACCACAGGAGTAAATTTAATTACTATTCATTTATTTATTACTTTAAAATAATTTCAGCTTGGCTCTGTATCAGTAGACCTGAGGTGACAAGTGAAATCCTGTTCATAACTTACGTTTCAAAAATATGATGACATCACAAAGAGACAGATTTTGGTGAATAAAAATTTTCTACCTCTGTAATGCAGCTTTTTTGACTCCTTATAATTCCTTTTATTGTGTAGAAGCCACGGGAACTATGGAACAGAAAAAGGAAGTCTTTAATTATCAAATCGCTGCCACTAGATACCGGAATGGGAAGATATTTTTTATAATTAAAGACTTTTGTTTTCCATCCTGCATTCCCACATGATGAAAGAAATTACATGCTGAGTCTGAAAAAACATGGGACAGAAGAATGGAGTTTTTAATTACCAAAAATCACCTCTTGCCTATAATGTCATCACTTTTCTGCAGGTATAAGTAACACAACAGGATTTCAGCCAATAAGAGAGTACTTCAACAACCAAAACCTCTTTGAAAAATTTAAGGTGTACCTAAATCAGATCCTAGGTTTTATTTTGATAGCTGAATTGTTGTAAATTATATACCACGCCCAATACTATCAACTCTGACTGGAAGCACCTTCCCAGAGTTTCACAGAGGATTCTTTCCCAGTCCTCCCTGGTACTGTTCTCTGGTACTAACCAATCCAACTCTGCTCAGTTTCTGATATCAGTTGATACTAGAAAATTTCAAGGTATCATTGGAATTTTACCTCACCAAACAGTGCATGAGTTAAATGAAAGTATTGTATCTGTCTTGGGCTGCTGGACATGTTAGAAATTGGAAAAGAGGCAGCCATTTACAAAGTATTTCCATTGTTTATTTCTTTCATTTAAATCTACGTAGTTACCTTGAAGATGACATACTGTAGATGATTGGAATGCCTTTTGATAATTTGCTTGATGAGCTCTGGATGAGTAGCCTTGAAGTACGATGTAGCTGGCTGATTCAGTTCAAACTCAAAATATCTCCACAGTTCAGGCATGTGGAACACTTGGTTCCACCTACGGCAGACTTGTGATGCATGAGCTCGATCAAGAAGAGGCAAATACTGAAACACCTGCAGAACAATCTCTGGAATGAGGTTGCCCCAATCCAGGTTCTGAAAATCTTCCACTGATTCTTTATCTTTATTTTTTATTTTTTTGCTCTCCACTATATTCTCTTCATCTGATAAATGACTGCCAGGCTTGCTGTTTTTCCTTCCTCGCTTCATTCTATTAAAATAAGAAAAATAATCAAAACAGATTTAACATGCAAGTTATGCAGCACCTTCCCAAGATAACATTTTCACTCCTATATATTTCTTTCCCTTAAAAAAAATAAAGATTAAAAGGAGCCAGAAAATAAATTTAGTATTAAAAATACTTGAGTGGCAACTATTTTTGTATCATTCTTTTCGGAAACAAGCCTTGCAAGACAAAACATCTACAGCTTTTAAAAGCTGCTATAACCCTACATAAATTCATCATTAATAACCATATTTTACATTATGCATCATTATGTAGCTACTGTATTTTCTTTTACATCAGTGCTCTAACAAAATTGTAAATTTGAAACAAAAATCCATAACAAAAAGACACATGGGCAACTGAGATGACACAGTACTAATCTTTGCAGCAAATAGTAAAGATCTGAATCTTTGTCTCTATCGTATTTCAGAACATATTTATTTATTTATTTATTGGATTTATACCCTGCACCATCTGGCAACCAGGCCACTCTGGGCGGCTAACAACAAAATAAACATCACAATCTGAAGAAAACAATAACAAAAATTCATACTTTCAAACAAGTATTTTAGCAACCAAACTTTGGGAACACAGTTTCAAATTAATATACAGGTAGTATCTGATCTCAAAGATTAAATCTAATAGCACAATTAATCCTAAACCTTAGGTCTCTGGGCAGCTTAGAACATACAGTATATGAAACCAACAATCCAAATCCCATCACTACAACCTATCACTACAACCCAATCTACTCGCATTTTTGCATTTTGCATGCTTTCCAACCGCTAGGTTGGCGGGGGCTGGGACAAGTGATGGGGGCTCCATTGCGTGGAGTTGATCTTACGACTGCAGGTCTTCTGACCGTGCAGCACAGAGGCTTCAGTGGTTTAACCCGCACCACCACCACATTCCTTTTGGATTATCATCTACCTCTCAATAAAAATATTTCTAAAAATCCAAAATGGAGTAATAAGCATAAATGTTTGCCCCATACAATAAAACCTTTACTGACCCCCAAATACATCACAATATTACAAACTGGGGTAACATCCAGAAGTACAGCTAGATTGCTCAGCAGGTGTGCACTGTAGGTGTATTTTTCACAGGGGGGGAATCTACTGTACATACTGGAGGGGGAGCATGAAAGTAGGTGTGACTGAAAGGAGCGTCATAGAAGCACCAGCAGGCCCTTTTCAAGGGAGCTACCATATTTCCACAGAAACATGGGCATAATATAGCTCTGTACAGGTCTTAACATAGGTAATTTCTAACTAAGCTTGAATAGTGGGCCATGGCATAACTACAGGATCTGGATGTTATGGCAGGGGATGCTGTAAATATAAACGGAGGAATATAACGCTGGCCACCCCCCTTATACGTGGTGGTGCTCCTTAAGAGCAACGCCATGTATCTGGCGCATTTCAAGGGGGAAAATGATAAGACCTACCATATGCATCTGGGAGAGGGGCTGTACAAAGACAGAAGGCATGCCAAGTGTGGCTATCCAATACCTTGTTTCCCCGAAAATAAGACCTAACCTGAAAATAAGCCCTAGTATGATTTTTCAAGATGCTCGTAATACAAGCCCTACCATCAAAATCCACTTCATGGATTGCTGCCATGGTGAAGGGGCTTCAGTAATTCAGAGAAGCTATGGGCTATGCTGTGCAGGGGCACCCAAGACGGACAGGTCATAGTGGAGATTTCTGACTAAATGCGATCCACCTGGAGCAGGAACTGGCAAGCCACTCCAGTAACTTTGCCAAGAAAACCCCATGAACAGAAACAAAAGGCTAGTGTGTTCTTCTCATATTAGGGGATTAGAATGCTAAAGTAGGGAGTCAAGAGATAAAAGGAACAACAGGGAAGTTTGGCCTTGGAGTTCAAAACGAAGCAGGACAAAGGCTAATAGAGTTTTGTCAAGAGAATAAGCTGGTCATCACAAACACTCTTTTCCAATAACACAAGAGGCGACTCTATACATGGAAATCACCAGATGGGCAATATCGAAATCAGATTGATTATATTCTCTGCAGCCAAAGATGGAGAAGCTCTATACAGTCAGCAAGAAAAAGACTGGAGTTGATTGTGGCTCTGATCATCAGCTTCTCATAGCAAAACTCAAGCTTAAACTGAAGAAAGTAGGAAAAACCAATGGGTTAGTCAGGTATAATCTAAACCAAATTCCTTATGAATACACAATGGAAGTGAAGAACAGATTTAAGGAACTCGATTTGGTGGACAGACTGCCTGGAGAACTATGGATGGAGGCTTGTAACATTGTACAAGAGGCAGCAACAAAAACCATCCCAAAGAAAAGGGAATGCAAGAAAGCAAAGTGGCTGCCCAAGGAGGCCTTACAAATAGCAGAGAAGAGAAGGGAAACAAAATGCAAGGGATATAGGGAAAGTTTCAGAAAATTGAATGCATACTTCCGAATAATAGCAAGGAGAGACAAGAGGACCTTCTTAAATGAACAGTGTAAAGAAACAGAGGAAAATAATAGAAAGGCAAAAACCAGAGCTGTTTAGAAAAAGG